GGCTTTAGTGGTTGGTGCATAAATTTGAATAATAGTGGTATTAACTGGGCTTCTCTGTAGGCACATGGATATTATCCTATCACTTATAGCATTGTACCTCGTGACTGATCTGGATATGTTCTTTTTGAGGATGAATGCAACACCATTCCTCTTCAACTTGTCATTCCCTGCATAGTAAACCATGTGGTTGTCAGAATCAGAATGGCCAATACCAGTGCATTTCAGCTCACTAATGCCTAAGATATCAATGTTGATGCGTTCCATTTCATTTTTGACAACTTCCAATTTTCCCAAATACATACTTCATACATTCCATGTTCCGATTTTCAGTGGATGTTTACAGCTGTTTCTCTTTATTTTGATTTGTGGCCCATTGGCAAATGAAGGTTCTGTGAGCTTTTCTCTCCTTGGAGGAGGTATTTTTTTTCCCCAGTCGCATTCTGAGTGCCTTCCCACCTTCCGGTCCTGTATCTGACAATGTTTCTCTGCTATTCATAGAGTTTTCAGTGACTAGCGATTTGGAAGTAGTTTGTCACTCTTTCTTCCTAGTCTGCCTTTGTTTGGAAGCTCATCTGAAACCTGTCCACCATGGGTGACACTGCTGATTATTTAAAATACTGGTGGCAAAGCCCTCAGAATCACAGCAATTCAAACCACCACAGCATGACAGATAGATGAGTGGCGGTTGTGTGGTAGCTGTTAAACATGAAACTCCTTGCATTAAGGCCCTTAAGTCCGGCTCAAACGTGGGATTTCCTTCCTCGGATGTCATGTCAGTCAACAGGCGGAAGCACAGCAGTGGCGACAGGGTTGTAATGAGATGCTTTGGGCTGTGCTTGTGGGTCTCTAAGTTGGTTGAGCCCACCACAAAGCCACAATCCAATGGCTAGGCCGGGATGACGCCCTCGCATCTGGCGTAAGTAGGACAGCCTGGCTGGCCGCTGAAGTCTCTTCCTGCTAGGCAGCATCCCCCCGTCGACCTGGTCTCCAGACACCTCTCACCCTGCCGCTCAGTGGTCTGGATTTCATTTAACACCTCCACCAGGTCTGCACACCTCGTTCTGCTGCTGCCCCCTCCATTAGAGCGACCGTTGGAATTTCACAAAAAGAGAAATACTGCATAGGACCACTACTGTAAAAGACTAAGGGAAAGAACCCATACTAAAGTGGGGTGGTTGGGATTCTTTGTTGACTGTTGGGATGTTGGAGGTGGGTGAGGGGAGGAGGGAGGGGAAGGTGGAGCACAAGGCAGAGATTATACACAGGATAGTTTCAGTGCTGGGGAGGGGGCAATACACAAGTAATGAGAGGGAAATGGAAGAACAAAGCAGACAGGAGAACGATTAGACAGGTCTCAATGGGCTAAGTGGGACAGAGGTAAATAGTGATATATGTACAACCTTGGAAAAACAGGGTTCTGGGATACAGAGATTGAGCCATGGTTGGAATGGGGAAAAGGGGGGAATAATGTTAAGATGCTTGGCAGTCTTTTGAATCTTGGTTTTCCTTGCATTATATTATAAAATAGACACTGGAGGGGGAGAGAATGGAATAGCGAAAAGCATCACCATTGAAAGCTTGTAAGTCCATCTTCTGCCTATAACTGATTGGAATACCTAACATGGGACAACATGCCCAGTGAAGCCTGAACTACATCCAGATCTCCAGAGATGGGAAATTCCCACTTGAAAGGACAAGCAGACCACCCTGGAGTGGCTAGGACAGAAGATACTTCTTGAAAGAAAGACCTACAGGAAAAAATATAAAACAACATAGGTAGACCTACTGTTACTACAAGATCAAGCAACTTGCTTGCCCGGGAAACATCAAGAAAAATGGTCGGGTCCCCTCAGTGCAAACC